ATTCGCAGCCATCTGCGCCGCGACCTGCTCAGCGAGCACATCCATGCGCCTAGCCGCAGCATACAGCTCCGTCGCCAGTGCGCGGTGCTCAGACGTCGCGTCCGAGTCCGCGGGGGAGAGCGGCTGGGGCCCGGTAAGTGCGCTTGGCGGCGGCGAGTCCTGCAAAGCGCGGGCCTGGGCGCGATACGATTCGGCTTGGTCGAGGGCGTGTGCGCGCTCGGCCTCGGCGTCGGAAATGGATTGCTTGAGGAGCGCGAGGATGCGCGCGTCGTCTGCGCCCGCGCCCTCCATTGCGCGTACCCGTGCCAGGGACAGGGCTTGCGTGGTGCGCAGCTCATTGTACGCGGTGTCGAGGAGGGCGCCGGCGGGGGGGATCTGCGCTTCGTCGTCGCCGCGCTCGTAGCCGCGCTCGTTGAGGAGCACGCGCAGGGAGCTCGTCTCCTCGCGCGCACGGTCCAGGTCCATTTTCAGTCCGCCGAGTCCCTTCTCGCACATCCACTTCTGCTCTAATGCATCATCGGCGCGCCGGCGGAGGACCTGTATCTCCTCGCGCAGGCCGCGGACTTCGCGGTAGAAGGCCGTGCGGCGCGGGGTGAGATTCTGCGCGCGGTCGCGCTCGGCCTCGAGCTGCTTGAGCCGGCGCTGGTGGACCTTTGCCTCATGTGAATAGCGCTCGAGGAGCGTCTTCAGGGCCGAGTGCAGGGCCTCGCGCTGCTGCTCCGTCTCCTTGACGCGTTCGGCGAGGGCCTCGCGGGACTCGTGTAGTCCCGGAGAAGGGCCGGCACTTGTTGGTGTTTGCGAGCCGGGCGGGCCGTTGGGGTGCTTGACGGAGTTTGAGCGGGAGAGGGCGCCTGAGCCGGCGCCGGAGTTGGAGCGGGACACGCGGCCTGTGGGGCGCTTGGTTGCTAGCGATTTGGAGCGGGAGAGGCCGAGGCCGGAGAGTTGAGGCGAGGGGGGCGGGAGGGGGTAGGCGGGGATGTCTTCCTCGGCGATGGAGCGGAAGCGCTGCTGCTGCTGAGCCTGCTTCAAGGTTTGGTTTTCCTCTCTTAATGCGCGGAGTTCGTGAGCGACGCGGGAGTGCTCATATGTCAGGGCCTCCTTTTCCGCCACTTCGTGCTCGAGCGCTTCCACTCTTGCTTTCAGTTGCGGTATCACCTCGTCGCGCAGCTCATCGCGATCGTTCCGCACGGCCTCGCCTTCCATGCGCATCCCTCCGATTAAGTCCTCCACGTTCTCGCGGAACTGTCGCTCCTCGCCGAGCTTCCGCTTCAATTCGTCGAGCATGAGTTCCAATTCGCGGACGCGCTCGCTCTCCAGCTGCCCGCGCGCCTGCGCATGTATACGCTCTTCTAGCGAATGTACCCGCTCTTCCGCCTCCTGTCGCGCTCGCAACGACTCTTGTAACCGCTGCGTCATGTCCAGCTTCAACTGCGCCTTCTCTTGCTCTGCGCGCCGCCGGATCCGCTCCAGCTCTTCCAGCTTCCCATCTGCTCCATCGCCGCCATGGAGGGGAAACCTAACGGAGCTAGTGCCGGAATCTGAGTAGTAGTCACTGGTGCGGCGGTTGGCGTCCAAACCTCCAGACCCAAACGTGCTGCCGGCTTCGATATTCGCTTTCCACCGCTCTACTTCATCCTCCAGTTCCAATTCTCGTTTTATAGAGTTTGTGAGTTCGGAGCTCAGCTCCCGCAACTGCTGCTCCAACTCAGCAGTCACTGAACTGGACACAGGCGGCGATGGGAGGCCCGGCGTGCCCAAGCCGTAGTACGAAAGCGAACCACCGGCATTGGCGCGAGGAATGTCCAGCGCCGCCGGCTTGTGGACCCCAGATGGCAAGTTCATGGGGAAAGAGTTTGTGTGCGGTAAGGGTGACGGCAATACCGGGGAGCGATCGGAGAAGGTCGTGGTGGGAGAGTCGCCGGAGGGCGTTCGCCGGCTCCAGCCGAAGAAGGATGTGAATTTGGTAGAGGGAGACTTGGGATTCTTGTTGATGTATCGGGGGTCGAGGTCATCGTCTCCGGGTGGTGGGAATGGATCGAGACGAAGACTGGACGAGTGTGCGTGGACTGCTGCCATGCTTTTCGAGTGAGAGTGGCCTAGATGCTGGGACGAGCCGGTGCTCCTTTGCCGCCTGCGGAAGAAGATATCGGGATATGATAACCCCTTTGAGTGCTGTGGTCGAACTGGCGATATAATTGCGGGTGTCGGGTTGCTCGCGATCGTGGTGAGCGAAGCATAGCGAGTCTGGGGTCCTCCGTCTCCTGCGGCAGAGGCGTTCTTGTCCGTCTGCAGGCCGACAGGAGGCTTGTTCAATTGGGGAGGGAGCAACGGTGATGTGCCGTGTGGGTTTCTGAAGGAAGGCAAGAGAGGTCAGCACGATGCAAGCCTAGGCGGGAGGCGGGACACCAGGACGAAAGCGGAGGGAACAGCGGTCCAAGCTTCGGCCTGTCAACAAAGACGGGGGGAATGTTGAGGCTTGTGTGTGGGCCATTCAATAGATACGGCTATTGTGTGGAATGTTTCCCCCACGGTCTCATATAAGAAGAGATGCGCTACTCACCTGTCCAGATCCCGAATCAATAGCTCCCCTTCGCCAAATCTTTCAGCAGCACTCGGTACTGCCAATCTACTCCCTTGCAGTGTAGAGGGAGCGCCTGCTGCAGGACGAGACGGCAGTTCAGTCGCGGAGGAGTTCTGTTGCGTTGCGCCTTGCGGACGTTCTGCAGCAGCCACTGTGGACCGCCCGTCCAGAGTATTTGCGTTTACTCTGCTTGCCAGCCCGAATGTATCCTGGCGAACGGAGCCAGACCCGGTATCTTGGTGGAATCGCACGCCGAACTCAGCAGCAATGGGGGATGCAGTGGACGGCAGCGGCTTGCGATTTACGAGGCCGCCCCGGGAGCGCACGGGAGGTGTGGATGGAGAAGGCCCGGAGGATGCGGCGGAGGCGCTTTGAATGGCGTTCGCGGCGCGAGGAGAGGAGTTGTTGGCGCTTGGGCCCGGAGACGCGCGAATGTGAAATGCCGACAGAGTATGCGGAAACAGAGGAAACGAGATGCCCGGAAGTGAGAGCTTCTTCGGGCGCTTTGGTTGACGAGATTCTTGAGAACGTCGCGGAGTAGCCGCGAAGGAGGAAGAGGCAAGGCCCGTTGGATCCGCGTTGGACTCCATCGCGGTTGGACTTCCAAGCTGTGCGAAGGCTAGCTAGCGCGCATTGATTCGTGCTAGGCACGCCAGGGTGGATGGGCTGCGCGCAAGGTGCAAATGATGGCCTACCCTATCTGATTAGGGGCGCGGCAACTGCACGAATTCGGCTGTAAGTGAGGTGATCTGTTGGATGAAGTCGGCAGGATGGTATTTGAGCATGTTAGCGTGGCGCCGCTTCTTGCGCAAGACTGAGGGGTTGCTATTCGACGCGAGGGATATTTCGAAGAGGATGGTGGGCAATGTGCATCATCTCACTCGCTGTCCACGTCCCCGGTCGCAATCTTCGGTCGCGTGGCCAGAGAATCAATCTCGAAGAGCCTCGATGAGTGGCAACCCGTCGAGCGCACCGTTGCACACTCTCTTCTGCCGTTTCCTACTGGCGATGCGCGAAATGGTTCGGAGACGGGCTGCTTTGTTCAGACTGATTGGTCTGTTGGTGTTGAGCGGGGGCGAGGGGGGTGAAGTCAAAGCCTTTGTCAGGTACAGCACCGCATTGATTGGGTGGGCGGACTATGTGGCTTTCGACTCCTTTGTTGGTTTGTTGGCCCGGATCAGCTGGTGATCTGCAGGTGAAGGGGGGGCTGGAGCCAAAGGGCGGGGGAGTGAAGAGGCGCGTTTTGGCGTCGAGTGTAGCCGGGGTTCGAGAGCGACTCCGCGGGCGAGAAAGGTTGCTTAATAACACCGGCGAAGATGCTGGAGGAAGAGGGGGATGAGGTTGCCGAAATGTAGATGGAGAGAAGAGCTTATGGTGTTGAGCTTCGCTGTCCGACGGGTCACAAGAGTGGACCAGGGAAGGCGCGAAGAGTCCAAAGGCGTCTTGTATGACGTTCCACTACCAGTCGTCCACTCGTCTTGCGGAAAGGGGAGAGCCGCTGAACAATACCCGCCGATGGGTGACACCACTCGCAACGTGAACAATAGACTTCAACGATGGCAACGACAATTCTGCTTCACTCATCATCAACCTCACTCCCCCATCCCCACTGCATATGTATAACAAACTCTCCGACCGTCCCTGCAGACCTCTGCATCTACATTGCCTTGCATCCGCCCCAAGTCTCACCTCCTTCATATACGGATGTACAAAAGGCCCAGCGCCCTCGACATCGGCGTACCCCGCTGCAGGAGGCAGCCTCTCCGTCTCAGATATCGCCCCCAGCACGCCGTGCAGCCTTCCACCACCCTCCACACACATTCTCTGCGCAAAATTCTCCGCCAGCGCTTCGCCCACCTATAAGCAGTCATCACACACCATCCGACTTCTATGTCTCATCGTGACTCCCCACGAGGCCAACGGCGCACCCGTAGCACCGATCGTACCCGTCGCACGGCAGCCCGCGCAAGCGCGCCTTCGCCCTACCTATCGCAAACCATTCGAGGGGGCAGACATGCTTGGTGTTTCAAGGCGGCAACACGCCCGGCCCAATAGTTTCACTGATACGGCTTCTGTCGCAGCGGGGCCTCGAGAACACGAACGATGATATGCGGCATCCCGGTTGCTTAACGTTTTGTTTCGCACGTCATTTCGTCGGCACGGTGGTTGCGGGTGAAACGCCGTTGCCGACACGGGGTTGAGCTGTGGATGGCTTGAGGTGGTACGTACTTCGTACCTGACGTTTGGCTGCTTTGAGTGAAGTATCCAGGACGATCAAGGGCCACCAGAACAAAGTCGTAGCCGCCCCCATATGCAAGTACGCATGGGCATAGCGGCAATTACTTTAGTGGTGGCCCTTGGATATCGGAACAGCCGCACACCTCACATTCGTCTCCACCCCTTCATCCCATATCTCACAGGCAAGGTGGCCGAGTTGGTTAAGGCGTCAGGTTAAGGTCTCCCTTAGCAACAATATCCTGATTCAGAAATGAGCACGAGTTCGAATCTCGTCCTTGTCAACATGCTGTTCTCTTTTTGCTTCCTTGGGACCGGTGGGGGAAGTGGGGTGGTGGGGCGAGGCTAGCGGCAAGGCTGGACCGGCCCGATCTTTTGCGCATAATTTAGACGTCATGGAAGGTAGGTAATGAGTAATTGAATACGGATGTTGAATCGATGTTCGGGTACAGTGGGGAATGTGCGTCGGCTGTTAAACCTGCGTGAGGGTGAGAGCCGGTCCAGTTATCATCAGGCCACGGACAGAGTGAGCAGAACGTTCGACGAGAGGGAGATTCAGGACAGGAATGATGTAGACACGGAAGGAGCATTGTTATGTCGGGAAGGAGCATACTTTTCTGAGGAAGGGGACATGATGCAATGTGCGCATGACAGGAGGAATGAGCATATGAGGATACTTGGCATCATCGTGTATTTCTTTTTGAGAGTCTTCCTCTCTTCCTCTCTTCCTCTCTTCCTCACTTCTTTTTTACTTCAATCATCAGCATTTCACAGAGTCTTTTGCTTCCATCAAGGAAGTTGGTGAGGGAAGTATTGCGAGGCAGCATCAGCCACCCCAGCATGAATTTAGACACTCCAGATCCGCAGCAGTATGCAAAATCCCTCCCAGGCTAGTAGCAGACCCCATCCCAACCAACCGGCAAGCCCCCCTCATGAACTCGTCATAATATCACAATCCGCCCAGTCCCTAACGCAGGCATCTATCGGGGGGTATAGCCCATGAATGAAGTGAGGAAGAGCAACTCCAGTCTACCCAACCGCTCACCAAGAAAAGTCAGATCCCCAAGCTCCATCGCCAAAATGCTCAGCCTCGAAGTAGAGGAACGAAAGGGCGCCAGAAACTCCAGCCAAACCCATGGACGGTGGAAACGTACAGCGAATGAGTATACCGTTACCAGCCTGCACCTGTTAGCCATGCCCGAGCAGCAACAGAAGAAAAGAAACTTACCAAATGTCTCCGAATGCAGCGTAATATCCTCCACCGCGCCCGAAACCGCCATGCCCTGCAATCGGGCAACCTCATTCGCAACCCCAATCTTCAGCGCATTCGGCCCACACACCGTAACCAGATTCCTTCCACCAGGCACCATAAACCCAGGCAACAGGTTCTTCATATCAGGTCTTCCAAACCGCACCTCGACTTTAACCCGCTCACCCGTCGCCTTCGCCGCACCCGCGCCAACCATCCCCGCTGCCATCAGTAACTCCAGCTCCGCGCTGCGCCCCTGCTGCCCATCCGCCTCCTCCTTGCTCGTCACGTAGATCAGCACTTCTACGCGGCACTCCGTCGACGAGGGCAGGTCGGCCAGCGCACGCAGCGCGCGCACAATCTCCGGCCGCGCCCAGGCTATCCACGCCGCCTTGCGGATACTCCACACGAAGCGGACGCTGCGCGTGCGGCACGCGCGCTCCCGTTCGATATCCGCCGCAAACCCGTCCGCCTCCTTACCGGCGCCAGGCATGGGCCCGAGGGCCGATGCAGCCGCGATTTTCTCGGACAAGTACACGAGCCACGGCAGCGAGGCCGTGACGCCGGATCCGCCTGCCACAGTCACGAACCCATCGAAGTAATGCTGCGCAGGCCGGACGTAGTCGCCGAACGGACCGTCAATCCACGTGCCCACATCCGCGGTATTCGCGCGCAGGGATTCGAGGGCCTCGAGCGAGGGGAAGCCAGGGGATGTGGGCGTTGTGCGGCCGCTGTAGCGGTATGGGCTGAGGGGCGCGGTGCTCAAGGTCGAGACCACGCGTGGTTTCGTGGTGGAGGTGAAACTGGCGCGGCTCGGGTTTTCGCTTTTCAGGCGGGAGAGGGAGGAGTAAGAGTCGTGGCGCGCGCGGGGCGGCTCGTCGAAGTCGGTGACGCTCATCATGGGGGTTGAGCGGCCGTTCACGGTCAGGCCGCTGAGGTTGGAGAGACCCTGCTCCTCGCGGCGTTTGGCGAGTTTGTTGAGTTTGCGGGTGAAGCCGCCGCAGGCGCGGACTAGGAAGACCATTTCGTTCTGTCCGCCTAGGTAGCGCGGTGTTGGCACTGAGGCGATGGTGAAGGGGTGGTTGTCCATGGCGCTGATCCCTGGGATGCTGATGTAGCAGTGCTGGCCCGGTCGCCAGCGGAGCCTGGCCGGTACAGTCACGGTTACGCGCGTCATGTCGCCCGGCAGGCTTTCGAGGGCCGTCGGGAAGCCGTGCAGCCCCCGGCTGAGAGGGAAGGTGAAGCGGTTACGCTGGATCATGCGCGCGATGACGCTGAAGGCCCACAGCGCCATAGCGCCGTAAATGTACTCCGGTGCGGCGTACTCGCCCTTGATGTGCCAGAACATGAGCGCGAACCAGCCGGCGGCGAAGAAGATGTGTAGATGCTTGAAGACTTCGTAGGCTTTGTTGCGGAAGTAGGGGAGCGAGAAGATGACGAGCAGGATGAAGACCGCCTGGAGGAAGGTGCCAGGGAGCTGGTGCGGTTAGCGGGTTTGACAGAGACAGGAGCGAGGGATGTCACGTACTTCGCGCCGGTGCAGCCTGTACAGCAGAACCAGCTCGTTCCAGCCACCCTCCTTGAGAGGCGCGATTATGTGGGGTACCTATCCGGTAAGCGGTGCCAACCTCAGCTTCGGCTAACGTACGGCATGGATAATGGACAGGCAAAAGAGGATATACGCGACGAAACGGTGCCATATGTTTAGTTTCGCGTACGAAATGCCCGTCAGGAAGGTTACGACATTGACCTTGCCGGCCAGCGCGATGCACACGGGTGTCAAGCCGGACATCAACATGGCGCAGCGAACGGATAGCGGCGGTGACCCGTATCGGAACTCGCTGCGCAGGTACTTGCCCTGGAAGAAGGGGAGGATGGAAATGTAGATTGTGGCGGCGGCCATGAGCAGGAGGACACCATAGGAGATATCGAGGGAGTCGCCGAGCTTGCCTGATAGTCGGCGGTAGGTGAAGGAGCGCCAGTATCCGACGAGGCGATGCTGGAGGTTGGAGCGGCGGTGAAAGTCGTTTAGGCGATGGCGGAAGTGGATGATCATGAAGAGGCCGATGAGGACGGCGTAGAACCAGACGGCCCATTCGCCGTAGCTTTCGAAAAATGTGTTCGAATACGCGTTTTGTGAGTCGTTCCAGCCGATGATGAAGGCTTTGCACGACCGGTTCATGCACCGCGGGTCTTCGATGGGAAGGTTCCACAGCGTATTTTCGGATTGGTCGCCTGCGTAGTCGGCCATCTTGGGGTGGTTGTCTACGCGGCCAGGGGGGAGCTTTGGGGTTGCAACTGAAAGGGGGGGGGAACAAGAGCACTGCTACGATGGGATACGGAAGAAGCGAACGTCGAGGCTACGATCGTAGCCTAATGGAAAGGGAAACGAATGACGATGGTGGGAGAAATATCAGCACAGACTTCAAGGGGCACGGAAGGGGAACAGGAAGCTCATATATTTTTCTAGGAGTCTTTCGAAGCTCCCCTTAGGCATAGCCGGCCAAGTGTCGGCGAAGGCTGAGATTGACGCCGACAGCCACATGCGCCTCATACGGAGTGGCATCCTGTCGGACACAGCAAAAAGTCAGTGGTGCAGGGGCGCTCGGATACCACGGAATGGCAGCGCTTGCCCATGAGAGGAGAGGCGCGGTGGTATGAGCGAAATGGAGTTCGGAGAAGGAGAGAAAAGTATCATGCAATGGCGGCCATCGTCAACTCCGACAATGCAGCCTCAATTGCATCGCCAATCGGCCATCTCACAGGCTGCAGCGTACTTTCGCAGTTGCAGTGCGCAAATCCCCGCCGGACATTCGCGGTGTTCGAAGCACAAAATCCCCTAGCGGCCAGGGCTGATGGCTGCTCAGCCAAACTGCCGCGCTGGACCACTCAGGAGGCGCGCCGCGCGCGCTCGCGACTTGGCCGCTATTTTGGGAGGACAAGGGCGGGGCTAAGCGGCGGCTAACTGGTTGGCGGGATCTGGGACCTGAAGCAACGAGATTCTAGCGGCCGAACATGCCAATTGACGAAGCTGTTGTTGTTGCGGTGGGAGATGAGCCGCCAGCAAGTGCTGGCTTTGACACGGCAGTCAAGAGCGGGGCCTCAGTATGCCTAAAGGTACCTCGCGCTCCTCATCAACGCGATGGGGCAACTGCCCCCCCGTCATCGTTGGACAAAGGAGGCAGGACTCGAGGGCAGAGCTTCGAACACGAGAGACAGACTCGGAGCATGAAACAAAAGCTCCCCACAAGGCTCGGCGTGTTCAGAACGCCGATCGCAGGTGATGACTCACTCCTCCGCTTCCACTTCGCCATGATAAAGCCTTTATCACCACCTGTCGTGCACGCCTATGACGAAGCAGCCGCAGACCAACGGCCTTACCGCAGCAAAGCAGACGGTGTAACAACGCCGACGCTGCACGCTTGTCGCTCGACCGTCCGCACAGCATGGAAGCAGCGTTCGAAAGAAGCAGGATCGGCATCAGCTATCGGCATCAGCAGGGCAGCCGTACATAACGGCACAACGACCGCACAACGGCACAATCCGCCCACCATGCAGCGCCCATGCCTCCTCTCGCCCCCTTTCGCGACAAGACGTCGCCCCCCAGCCACCACCGGGCCCTCGTTTTTCCACAACCGTCCGGGCCTGAGCTCCGCTAACCAATTAGCTTCCTGCTTTTCCGCCATGCGGCCCGCCGCGCGCTGCAAGGCACGGGAGGCGCGCAGGGAGGAGAGGCGAGTGGGCCACGCAGCGGCGACGCGTGGGGGCTGAGACGACGGAACGTGCCCTGCGTGCACAAAACACGCCCGCCGCTATGACATGTTTAACCTAAAAACGCATCGGTAGTCCATCGGTTTCGCGATTCCACCTTTCCGCCGGCATGCCGTGCGCGCCTGCGGTGCCGAAACCTGATGCGGGGCCGGCGCGAGGCTATGTGCTGTTGTGCGGCAGCTAAGCCGCGAGGGCGGGTGAGGAGGGTCCGGTGGGATAGGCGGTGTTGCGCGACGAGCCTTGTGTAGTAGCTAGGGCCTTGGA